CTATATTTAGGTAGCAGTTGTTTTGGCGCCTCACTGTCATTTGCTTGGGGCACCTTCGAAGTGAAATTAAGGGGCACTGTCTCGGTCAGGGTACATTCGTCTCATCTCCTCCTCTTCCTCTCTCCTTACTTCGAAACCCAACCTTCTAGTCAAGTGAGATCTCTTATGTGGGCTGGTTCATTGTTCGCTTATTTGATTTCACCTCTTCACTTCTTCAACACTCCATCTTCCGGCTACCCACCCATCCACTATCCCAGTCACACACTCATCGGTCAACACACTTACACTCACTCATTTGCCTTCCTTCGTTGATCTTGCCTCTCCTTCAGTTGAAAATGGACAAATGGTGGAGGGAGAAGGAAAGACCCCAATGTCTGATCAGACATCCGACGCGAGGAGAAACTTTGGAGAATGGGAAGTGGAGGACTGGCCAAGCTGACATGACCATAAATTTAAATGGCACAAAGTTTTAAATCAGATGGAGGCGGCTCGTCTCCAATGTAGCCAGACTCGAGATTCACACCTGCAGACACAAAAGAGGGGGATGTGTCAAGCGGAGCGACGCAATGAAAGTAGCAACCGGGGAAGTGGAAGGCGAGACATAGGTCCTATGCTTGTGGGCGTAGCCAACGAACACTTACTGTCAGTAGACAGTCAGTATGTTAAGGATGTCCACCCCCACTTATTCACTCCTTCGATGGTCGACCAAAACGACCTGTCACCAAGTCGCTGTATTGCATGTGTTGGCTTTCGCTTTCGTAGTTACTCACGCATTCAACTCCACCAATGCCAAAAACAGGCGGTACCGACTGAGGGGTGACATGTGGAATCCACAAATCTGACGCATGACGCACAAGGCTGTAGATCTACCGAGTCCCTTGCTTTTCGAATTACAAGCTAATGTAGAAGAGTCCTCCTGCCCTACTTATGCTACCTATCCTGAAATCCCTCCCTAAACTTATACAAAACAAATTCTGGAATAGTGTGGGTTTTACAGTGCTCAAAGCTAACTTAAAGTCTGTAGAATCCTTAACCAGGAATTTATTGCTTTTGTTGCACACACAAGTGAATAAATTGGAATTCTGAAGTCACTTCTGCAAAATGAACTGTCCGTGATGTTTTACCCTTATTAATTGAAAAGAAGGACCTTTATCTAAGTTTACATTGCTCCATTGGTGGAAACTTATCGCCTCTTGGAGAAGGTAATCAGCTAACTTATTTGAGGGGTTATTAGCTGGACAGACGTCAGAGAATAGAAAATGGAAGAAACAGCCTTTGATCTCACATTTTAACGCCCATCCAATCGTGCTAACTTTTGAAATCAGAAGGTATTGTCAAAAGTACAATAAAGGTTGTGGCCTTAAGATGATTTTCTTGAACAAACGTTGTCTCTATCTCTACGTTGTGCTCTGTCTGCTAAATGCAAGCGTGAAGAAGGATTTATTCATAAATATCGGCATTGCATAAATGCACTTTAGGCTATCTCGATAACAAATTTGATAATTTTATTCATTACCCAAACAAAAAATACATAATTCCAAACCAATATTTTGCAGACAATCTAATTAAGTC